ATAACAGTCATTTTTTTTTTAACTTCTTTTTTGAATTAAGGAATTAAGAATTATTTGTGTTTATTTATAGTACCCTTAGGAAAAAAAATTAAAAGATAAAGTAAAAATTTTTGTGATAAGACAATTAATTAAAATAAATAAATAATAATAAAATTAAAGTAGGAAAAAAAATATTTGTCTACTTAAAAAAATGACAATTAATTTAAAATAAATTCAAAATAAAAAAAAATGACAATTATTTTAGAATTGAGAGGGTATTAATTATTCTAGCATGTATAAGAGCTATGAAAAGCCAGGCATATATATGCATGGTGAGAATCTGCTTATGCCATGAAAAGAAAACAAGTAACAGCATCCAAACAAAGTATGCTTACAAAGCAATTTGTTGCTTTGTTAGATGCTCCAAACTATGCATTTTAATTACATTAATTAAAATATTCATAAAATTGCAGAAAAAAGAAATCTAGGATAAGTGGCAAAGCAAGCTACAAATTTTAATTAATTAGATGGTGTTATATTTCTCTTACATTCTTGCTTAATTGAACTAATTAATTGGATTACTTCATGTCCTTTCTTGGTAGGTAAAGGCATAAGATCCAGTTGTTTAATTCTTAGCAGATGAATAGCTGCCAATCAAAGAGGTTTGGTTGGATATATTAAAATATTAATTGATGGAGAGGACATTACAATCAAATTTATTGACACTGATATCTGAGTAAATGGGAAGAAATTTGTTGCCGATGTGGGTTGTGTCAATTAATTGATAAGAGGTCTTCCAACTCTAAATTGAAATTTTTAAATTAAAATTTTAAAATAAGCAGAGAAAAATTAAAAACAAAAAAAAATTACCTTTTATTATTTATTTTTTAAGAAAGAAGAAATTTGTTTTTAGTACATTTTATATAGAGTATATGTTTTTAAAAAATTGTTATATAGTTTAAATTGAAATAAATTACATAATAAAAATCATTAAATGAGAAATAAGATTTTTGATATTAAAAGTCTTATTTCACATAGCATACATAGCATCTTTATTTAATAATTTAATACGAAAATTCTATTATTTCTAACTTTTTTTTTTTACATTAGTTATATAATGAAAGATAATCATCTTTCATTCTTTATCTCATTTCACTCGCATATTATATGACTCGAACTTAAAAGTCTTTATTTTTAACAAAAAAAAAATAATTAAATTATTTAAATCGTTGATCATTTCTATTTTTTTTATGGAGTATAAGATAGTAACTAAATCCAGCCAACACAAAGAAAGATTTTATTTTTAGGTGTGAAAAGCAGAGCCAATGAAGGGAAGAAAGAATACTGAAGTTTGAAAAAGGCATGTGAAGGAGGCAGCGGTGTCGTTTTCGTGTTCTGGACCGAGCCAAAGGGCCAGCTAAGCTAAACCCCATCTGAACCGGCGCATTTATCGGCATGTGAGGAAGCGGCGCCGGTTGGTTTCAACTTTAAAAGTCAAAGCACTCGTTTCTCTTCCTTAGTTGTTCACCACCAACCTAAACCTTTTTGAGGAAAAAAAGAAAAAACACAATCCATCAAGGAATGGACCTGTCCCCTGCCATGGAATGTTGAAGAAAACTTGTGTTGTCCATTTTGTTAAGGAGTAATGATAAGGAAAATAGAAATTTAAGATTATTGATATAATATATGTCATGTTTTTTTAAACAATTTGTTAAGAGGTGGACTCAAAACCCATTCAAAAACATCCAAAAAGAAAAAGAAATGCACCTCAAGTTAAAAAGAGATCAATTAACTCGAAGGGTCAGATGCATAATATATGTTATGTTTTAAAAAATATAAAATTTATATTTTAATATTTTTAATAACGTGATTTTATTATGTTATTAGTTTCAAATTTTAATTTTAAATTTTTATTTCATTTGTCATTATTCTTTACTAAATCATCTACAGTAAGGAATTTAGAATTTGACAGTCCTTCCTTAATAATTAGTTGGTCTATGACAATGTGTCTCATAATAATTGCTTTGATTGAGTAGACAAAACTTCCAAATTACTTACAGCTGTTTCAGTGTAATATCTCATGTTGCTTTGAGTAGACAAAATGTGAAGCTGACGAATTTTGTTATATTCAAGGATTAAAAGGAAAAGTAAAACAACACTCTTGGAATTACCAAGTGCTGGTTGCACGCAGGTCTCTATTGGTTTGAATCTAATTATATTTTTTATTTTAATTGTATAATGAGAGATAATCATTTTTCATCTTTTATTTTATTTTAGTCGCATGTCATGTGACTCGAATTCAAAACTTTTTACTTTCAATAAAAAAAGATAATCACTAAATTATTTAAGTTGTTAACAATTTGAATGTAATTTTTTAAAACAAAATAATAAGATTAAGAGTGTTTGTATATTTAAAAAAAAAAAAAAAAAGACTCACACCGGATGCAAATAGCACCCCTCAAAATAGGGAGGTGGAGAATGGAGATGATGCAGAACGGCAGAACCCAAAATTTTGCAATGGGGAATCGAGGGAGTATCGGGAGTGGTGGTGTTTTTCTCGGACACATGAAAACATGCTAAAGACAGCAAACCGTCTACCTTTCCTTATGTCTTGCATTCTTTGACCACTTTCTTTGCCCAATTTTATGATTTTTT